TATTTCATTTTACGTTCTATTGTGTTGCATGAAAAACTTAGCATTTATTTTATTTGATTTGATTTTATTTTATTTTATTTGAGGATTATATGCGGCCTAGCAACACAGTACGATTTTCGTCTCGACCTTGTGTGTCCTCTACTCAGCGTTTCGCGCGGGACAAGATGGCTGACGCTTTCGCTCGGTCTGGCGTCTTTGTCGCTCGACTTCGGTATTTTTTTTCAAACGAATTTTTATAAGTTTCGTTTTCTACTTTTAATTAATAAATTTACCTGAACAATTTTCTAGCGATTTTGACTGATTCTAAATTTATTGCAAATGATTTTATTTTAAATAATTAAATTTATTTTAAGAATTATTCTACTGGTTTTAATTAAATTTAACTTTAAATGATTTTACTTTAATTCTTCTTAAACATTTTACTGATTTTGCATTAAGCAATTAATTAAATAAATCCAACCAAACTCGATTATCAAAGACAATTTGTTCTACATGGCACCGAGGTCATAAATTGACCAACCGAAATTATTATTCCTGGTAAAGTCAATCCAAACTCTGCCTACGTAGTAAATTAACAATCCGAAATAATTCCTGGTTTTGTTAATTAAATGTTTAGTAACTACTCCTGACTTGTTCTTAACTTTATTCTCGATTTTATTCTGGTTTTTATTTTGGACTTTTCTTAATTTCATTCTGAATTTTATTTGGAATAAATTCTTAGTAACATTCTACAGAATATTCTAAATAATATTTTAAACAATATCCCAAATAATATTCTGAGTAAATTCTAATAAATAAATTCCATTATAATAATTAAGTAAATTCTACGACGTAATACTTAAACTAATGATTGTGATCGAACGCGAAATGGCGGTGACCTTCAGCCGACTTCAATGCCTGGCTGATGCCGTACCACCGAGAGATTATTGAGACATTTTATTTGTACCTGGAGTTTTCCTCTAGGACGCTAATAAACTCCCTCGAAGAACTACAACTCCTCGTCGTCGTTGCTGGTACAAATCCCTCCTTGGTGGATAAATCTGCTTGGCGGCGAGACTCTGGTCACCGTCACTCGTTCTCCGTATACTTTACAAAACCTGTAACCGCAAATAAGCATTAGAAATTATCACTAATTAGAATTAATTTACGCAAGCTGGCAGAAAGCCTAGCAAGCAATAAATTAATATGAATAATAATTGAATTGTATCGCTTTGTTCCACTATAGGTTAAGCGAAATAAAAATAATTACCTGTGCTTTGGTGTTTATTAATTTTTTGCGCGACCGTTAGGTTTGACTGTTCGGTCATAATGAATCTTCTGAGCTTTGTCGGTGCGTTTCTTTCTTCGTCTGCTCTCTCCACTCTCACTGCCGACATCTTCACCTTGGGGACTCACTCACAAGTGTCAAACTATGACTACGAGGGCTTCAGATCACAGCGCTCTGTGATCCGTCGATAACATAATGGGTGCGGATAAAAAGACTTTTAACGGGTAACGATCACTCCGTTACATGGCATTCTGATTGCTGAAATCTATCCAGGATTTCACGCTCTTCAAACTAATTTTAGTCAATTTTAATGTCGCCTGCTTTGGTCCATTGGTACCATCTGTCAAAGTTATGTTTTCGAATAAAATGCACATTTTTTTATTTTTTCAGCGAAAACTTATTGATAGATGAAAAAAATAATACATATTTTTATGAAAAATTTGATTCTCTTCAAAAAAGGTTTAACTTAAATCGCTCAGACTCATAGTTTTTAACTTGCAGTAACTTTTAAAACTAAAAATGTAGAAAAATGATGAAAAAATTACAAATTATGATGTTTAAATTTAAGTTTTTGTTTGAAAGTTATTTTTTTCATTACATGATCAATTTTACTTTTTGTAAGATATTTGAGCGCATAATTCATCAACGAATAAATGCAGTAGTCGACCCACTCCTGGCAGACAATCAGTATGGATTCCGGAAAGGACGATCAACCCTGGACGCAATCAAACTGGTTGTTGATACGGCCAAGGAAGCAATCGCAGGAACCAGATGGAAAGGTGGAACGAAAGAGTATTGCCTGGTGGCGACCCTAGACATCAGAAACGCATTCAACTCCGCCAATTGGGAATGCATCATGCAGGCCCTCCAAGAGAAGAATGTACCAGAATACCTTCTTAAGATCGTAACAAGCTACTTTGAAAATAGGGTCTTGAAGTATGACACGAAGAACGGTCCGAGGGAGTATGATATTACTGGAGGTGTACCACAAGGTTCAGTTATAGGCCCGCTCCTATGGAATATTACGTATGACGGTCTATTAAGACTAACTCTGCCAAGAAACGTCAAACTCATAGCATATGCAGATGACGTAGCCGTAGTGATTGTTGCCAAACACCTTGACGAGATAAACCATATGTTTGATCTCACTTTTGAGCGCGTTAAACGGTGGATGGACGCAGTGAACCTGCAACTGGCGCAACACAAGACTGAAGCAGTGCTTATTACCAGCAGAAAAGTGGTAGAGACCATTAAGCTGAAAGTCGGCGAACAAGAAATCACATCACAACCTTATATCCGATATTTGGGAGTAATGCTTGATGCCCGACTCAATTTTAAGCAGCAAGTAGAGCATGTCAGTGCCAAAGCATCAGTAGTGAAGGCTAGTCTAGCACGATTGATGCCTAACGTCGGAGGGCCAAAGCAGAGTAGGAGACTATTGTTGGCAACTTTAGTCACATCAGTGCTTACGTACGGAATATCCATATGGGCTGATGCGCTAGAATTACAAGAAGCATGGAGAAAGGCTGGGCCAGTATACCGTCTGAGTGCCCTAAGAGTAGCTTGCGCCTTCCGCACAATATCTGAGGAAGCAGTGTGCGTCATTTCTGGAACTCTACCTCTCAGAGTCCTAGCTGAAGAAAGACGGAACCTTTACCAACGAAAGAGGTCAACAACACTAAGCACAGAAGAACTCAGAACGGAACAAAGACAGCACAGCATTGCACGATGGCAATCTCAGTGGAATGCCGCAGAGAAGGGTAGATGGACGCATCGTCTCATACCAAAGATCGACATTTGGCTGAACCGGAATCACGGTGAGGTCAACTACTACCTAACACAGATGTTGTCAGGACATGGCTGCTTTCAGGCTTATCTTCACCGCTTTAGGCATGACGACTCTCCGGAGTGCCCGTCCTGCCCTGGAGCCACTGAAGATGCAGAGCACGTTTTGTTCGAGTGCTTGCGTTTCAATCAACAACGTGAGGAGCTGGAGAAGATCCTGAAGAAGACAATTCAACCAGAGTCAATCGTAGAAGCAATGATGTCTTCAGAAGCTGCCTGGAATGCAACGAACATTTTTGCCACAGAAGTGCTTACTGAGCTGCGTTCCATTAAGAGAAAAAGAGTAAAAGACAGAATCTAGATGGAAGAAATAACATCTTAGCCACCAGAAGGAAGAGCGGCAGCTAATTCCTCCCCCCACGAAGAAATGCCTTACGGCGGTACCATGGGGGATCAGAGGAAAGAAGAGAAAGGGGTTTAGGGTTTAGTGGGTAGGGGCGTCAGCGTCAAGTTTTAGTATGACGCTGCGTCGAGTCACCACATATCCAGGCTAAACATCTATGCCTAGAATCCGTAAAAAGGATTTCCCCCCCCCCCCTAAAAAGAAAAAAAAATACACACACACACCCATACACACATATACATACAGACATAGTAACAACCTCGCGGGGATAGTCAGGGAAGCTTCCTGTGATCTTCAAACGTCGAGATCTCATGAAAACTCGATTTTTGCAAAACGGGGTAGAAAACAAATAACTTCCCGTATTTTTAGTAAAATCTGAGATTTTTAGCGGAAAGTTAAAAATTACTGTTGTCGTAGAACCAATCGACTACTGTTTCTTATCTGGTTTAAAATTTACGAAAAGTACAATTTTTTTTTTATTTTTTAAATACAATATGAAATTGATATTATTATTGTTTTTCATGCAATATTATGTCAAATGAAAAAATCTTTTGCGTATTATTTACATTTTTATCATGAAATTTAATTTACAGTTATTTATTGATGAATTATTAAAATTATTCGAAAATTTTGGAAAAAATTAAAATAATCAATGAAATATTATAAATCTGACAACATATTAGTTAGTTACAAAGACTTCACCATAGAGCAATCACTTGTTCCGCACTGTCGAAACTAGTATTAAAAGTCTTCGGTAGATGGCGCATGGTCGCGGAATTGTTCTTTTCTAGATAGTTGACTTTGAAGTGTTAAGTTCCATAAAGAGTAGAATTTTTTTGCTCTATTACAGAGTTTACCTGTTTTTGAATATAGTTGGACAAACACTTAAAAATACTTAAATAAATTTCATATTAACTACGAATTAGTATAATAGATATCTTTTAAAAAACAAAATAAAATCAGAAATGATAAATTTTATTTCTACTTCTGGGTTGTCTACGTCTTAATATGGTCATATCAGCCCTGATCAGGCCATATCAAGTCTGATATGGCTAATTTCCATATCAGTCCTGATATGGACGGTCCACATCAGGTCTGATCAAAATATTTTTTCACGGGTTATGTTCGAGAGATATTCGCTCTTCTCATTAGTTCGATGAAAATCCAACGAACTTGAATACTAGTAAAGGTGCGATTTCACGACGACGCTTGACGCCAGCTTCGAGCGTCAAAGTTGATCACACTGTATAATTTCGATCAGAGTGCCATCTAGATAAAAAGCAGCGTCAAACTTTTAGCGTCAAGCGTCATTTTGACGAAATAAACGACCCTAGTTTTACAAGTAAGAAAAATCGAAAGTTTACTTATCAGCCTATGTTATTCCCTAACCTATTTGGATCAACAATAACAACAACAACAACAACAACAACACATTATTATAGTGATAGTTTAAATCTATAAATTATTATTAATTTATAAAATACTTGTGAACGAATGTGTAATAAAAATTTCAACATTATTTTATAAACCATTATAAGAACGAAAATGTCTGCGACTTATGAATACCAACGATGGATTCATCAGTGCCGTGAAATAATTCGACAGGCGGAAATTGATAAAATAAGACGAAAGAAAATTTTACTGGCTCTAATTTCTAATGAAATATATCCACAGATTCGGTAGAATCTGGCGCCAAGTTCCGTTCAAGTCCGTTGTCAACAACGAAGGATTATTATGCTTGGTTAGTCCATTTATAACCAAAGAGAATGTTATTAGAGACGCTATTTCGGCAACAGCACGGCTTGCAATGATTTTAAGGTAAAATCTTGATAGTATAAATTATTTATAACAATTATGATGACTAAACTTAAAAAATCAATTTTTATCAGATATTTAGCAACTGGCGATTGTTTAAATTCAATATCATACCAATATCTCGTTGGTTTCACAACAGCATCCAATATAATTAACGAGACATGTCAAGTTATTTGGAATTGTCTCTATAAAAAAGTTTTACCGTATCCTTTAGAAACGCCAGACTGGTTAGAAATTTCTAAAGAGTTTGATAGACAGTGGCAATTTCCACATTGTATAGGAGCAGCCGATGGAAAGCATATTCAAATACAGGTACACAAATAAATTGAATTGACTTAAAATCTGTAAATTGAGTTTGTTAATACCAAAAAACTTAATCATATTTTTATTACAGTGCCCTGACAATGCTGGCTCATCATTTTATAATTACAAAAATTATCACAGCATTGTTTTTATTGCCATTTGTGATGCTAACTATTCCTTTACATTTGTGGATATTGGTGCTTATGGTCGGCGAAGTGACGGTGGTATTTTTCGAGACTCTCAGATGGGACAGAAATTTCAGCAAATGCAAATGAATTTGCCAAATCCTAAACAGTTGACCGTAGATGGACTGCCTTTACCATACGTACTGGTCGGTGACGAAGCTTTTCAATTAACTTACTACTTGCTTCGACCGTATCCTGGTAAGGGTGGCCTTAATCAAGAGCGCAACATTTTTAACTACCGTTTGAGTCGCGCACGGAGAACTATTGAAAATAGTTTTGGTATATTAGTAAACAGATGGAGAATTTTAAAAAAACAAATTCAAGCAACTGTTAAAAATACAATCAGCACAGTACAAGCTGTTATAGTTCTGCATAATTGGCTTCGTCAAAATGATAAGAATAATACTTATATTCCATCTAATATAGATAATGAATTGGAACTAAATAATTTAATCGAAGAAATAAATAATTCAGCTTTTAAAAATGGATCTATTCCAGGAAACAATTTTAGCAGTCGATCCGCGGTGATGATTCGTGACGAGTTCTGTGATTATTTGAATGCAGAAGGAGCTGTTTCCTGGCAATATAATCGCGTTTAGTAACAATTTAATTTAAGAGATATAATTACAGACAAGAAATTTCACCTAACATTAATTGCAATCATATAAAATTTGCAACATTGCAATAAAACATTAATAGTATTTGTATATATCGAAAGAACTTATATGTATTAATTATTTGTGTATAAATATTGTAATTGAAAACTTTCACGGTTTTATTTATAAATTAATTTTTTTCTGTTTTAAGGTTCGTAAATGAATAGATTACGAAACATATAAAAATTGTAATAAAATTTATTGTATCTTGTAACAATTATAATATATTTTTTTAAGAAATACATTTTTTAGCATGCTGAATACTGTTTTTCTATATTATGAACTAAGTTCATTATCTCTATCATAACCTCAAAATGAAATTCTTCAGGTAATTTTCGAATTTGATGTCCAATACCTATCATAAAATTATCAATTACATCGATACTCGGTGGGGTAGGTAATGCAGGTTTTATAGATTCATTACAGATTTTATCAGCAATTCGACTCAATGAATCCAAAGTATCTGTCTCCTCACTTTCTCTGTTTCGTTTACGTGATTTTCTATGTGTCGAGATATCTACCAAGTCATAATAATTTTTTTAAGAGCATGTAAATCAATAATTTCATAAAAAAACTTAGTCTCACCCTTCTTCAGCAAACTGTCGGCTGCACTTTCACTGTCATTCATTGAAGTATTACGATGATCATCATGTTCACCTACATCGACGTTGTCTGGCATATTGCTACGCGTTCTATAGTTTATTTAAATAATTAAAATTAAAATTTTACAAACCGAATAAAACGCAAATAATAACAGGAATGTGTTAATAATAAACACTACAAAGAAGTTTTATTAATAGACCTAGCAAAATCGTAAATTGCAAAAGATAGAACAGAGAAAGTATGTCTTCCAACATGGTAATTAATTAAAAATGTATAGCTATTGTTAATTAAATTATAACTTCTAAAAACTATTGTAGTATTAATATTAAGAAGGTAAAAGACCCAGATATTGACACTGGCCTAGTTATTGACATTTGCAATTTTATTTAAATTAAATAAAATAAATCGACTCTAATGAATTAATAAATATAATTGTTGAGCTATTTTTTTAAGATAATTGGGTTTTTGATATCATTTTATTTTTTTAATGAGAATAAAATTTCAAGTGTCAATCAACTAGGCCAGTGTCAATAACTGGGTCTTTTACCTTACTAAATGTTCCAAACAAACAATTCAGTAGCTACGATATTTATTATTTTGTTTTCATACGGTCTTATAAGGCAACTGTCCCGCAGAAATTCACATGATTTGTAAAATTTCAATTTTTCTCTCTGCTCCACTCTTCCTGATCCACTTCCATGATGTTCATCTCCGATTAACTTTCGATGAGTGTCTCGTAAGCTTTTAAATTTTTTTCTTGCACCATCTGCTGTTAACTGTCCTAGTAAAATAAATTTCAGTTTGAGATATTTCATTTTAATTAATTCATTAAACACGAATATTTATTAGAATAATAATTTTTTACCATTCAATGCCCGAGATACTTCTTGCCATAATGCTGTAACAATTTCTTTACTTCGCTGCACAAGAGGAAGCTCGAAATTCCATAACGGTGGTCTAGATTGCACTTCCAAAAGTAAAATTTCGACTTCGTCATCGTTTAGTTTTTTACTTCGCTTAGCCGTTGAGCCAGTATTGTTTTGCTTCTTACTTATTGATGCATTTGAACTTTTATCTATAATAAACCATATTTGTAAAAATAGTGATAATATTTACAAGAAATATCCCTGATTAATCAAAACTATGTGACCCATACTGTGTGTTTAACTACAACATATACTTCATACACATATTTAACTACATACATCATGTACATATACTTAATATAACTACAAATATACTTCACCTGTATTGGGGCATTGATTTTCATCATTCGTGGGATATAATTTTTCGTGAATAACACCTTCAGTGCCATTCGGTAATAATGCACGACGGAGGATTGTAACTTTATCATCTACAAAATGATTTAAATCACCATTTAACTATTTTAATGCAGATAATATTATGAACATATCAAATTACTTACCTAAAAGTGAAAAAAAATAATAATTTTCATCGATATGGACGTCATTGTAATTACGTAAACATTCATGACTTACATATTCGTCACAAATGGTCTCACATAAACCACATGTGAAAACAACTCGCATTTCCTAAATATTAAGAGAAAATGAATATTATCAATACAATTTATTAATGACTATTTGTTCTTTATACTAAATTTAATATGATACTGATGTGAGCTGACAGCTTTCAATTTTTTAAATTTTTATGACAAATCAATCACAACAAAAAAAATTAGAAAAACGGTTCACCCTAAAGGCCATCCCTGCAACTTCCCGCTCATTTTGTACTTAAACGCTTCAAACTACACATTACGTTTTTGAGCTCTTCGAGCTCAAAAATATTATTTTTGTGTCAATTTGAGCTCTTCGAGCTCAAAACTCTAATAGCAGTTTAAAGACACAATTTTTTGAATTTTCAAACGGCAATAACTTTTGACTGAATGAACCGATTTTCACGCGGTTAGCGGCAATCGACGCAGTTTTTGAAGCTCCATGAAAAATTTTTAAGTTTAAATCGATCAAGCCATGAATTTCAAAGTTATTACAAAAAAACACTTTTTTCGATTTTTTTCGACAACGATATCTCACGAACGCATCAACCGATTCTAACGTTTTTGGTGGCGATCGATGGAGGTTTTCAAGGGTAAGAGCTGATTAGTTTTTGAGACCAATCGGTTCAGCCAATTCGGAGATATTAAAAAAAAATAAAAAAAAATACAACTTTTTTTTCATTTTTTTTTCACTTTTTTTGCATTTTCTCAAAATCTACCGGTCCGAATCGGTTCAAATTTTCAGAAAATCTAAGTTTAGTGAAGCCCTTTCAAATGACACCAAC